ATCGATTAGGAAACATTCTAGTAGACTATGAATGTTAGAAAAAAACTTAGAATAATAAAAAGTTAATTTCTTTGGTTACTTAAAAAAATCTGATCTTTTTTTTGTGTGTAGAATTCCATAGTATGATAAAGCTAATACAGTGTGACAATACCTAACTTTGCCGAAAATTTGTCACTTAAAAACGTCATTTTATGTTGATATTATGTATTAAGTAGTGAAAACACTCTAAAAACATCTTTAAAACTTCTAAAAACAAAACTTACACCACTCTCGGTACTCAAGTAAACCGATATGGTCACACTACTCAACGTTTTCCTTATAAACAAAATATAACACTTACTCAGACGATTGGTTCGTCAAATTTTAGTACATTCACTATTTCTGATGTAACTACCTTCTACCTATAAGTTTGGGTTTATTAAATATAGTTCAAGATAAGGATCACTCAGTTGGGACGATCGAGAAAAAACAAGATTTTCATTTTCTCTTTAACCAGTATGATTTCAATCCCGATCTTTGTTTCACAAATTTTCCGAGAAGCATAATTTATAATAAAAATGATAATGTTTCATACTTTTTCAGTATAAGGTAGTGTTTTAAAAGATCACTCAAATGAACATAGTGCATTCTGAGTGATCCATATAAACCGTTCTAAATCTTAAACGTGGCTTTGAAATGAATAGAAAATTTGTTTAGCAGCTTTCACAAATTCTTCACAATTATTTCAAATACAAATTATAAACACATATGTAGTATTTTCCTGGATACGCGTTATGGCTTATTGTTTAGGTGTCCAGATTTAGTGATCCAGTTAATTAGTTCTAACTTAAGAAAAGTTTACTAGAAAAAAATCCACGCGGACCATGCAGCGCACGGGACGGGTTCTTTTTCTAGTAAAGTTTTCTTTAGATTTAAACATCTAGCAGTTTAATGCTTAAAAAATAAATAAAATCATAATTCTAACTTTCTTTATTTAGGTTTCACAAATTTTATACCTTACCATTAAGTTTTCACAATTATTTCCTAAATCCTCTTATAATTTGGTTGTGGTTGGATGAGTTTTTTGAAAAGATCACTCAGTCCACACGCACAGATTATATGTGACGTGTAAATTTGAAATCGCCCTAACTAAGCAATTACAGCTATTAAGTATTTAAACAAATTTCAACGATGTAAAGCTCTCATCATCCCCTTCTCAGTAGTGGATCGCTTCGCTTTAGGTCTTCATAACTCCTATGACCAGAAGAATCCCCAACAAGGTGTGTTTCAGTAGCAGCACACTGTATATATACTTTCGTAAGATTCTACACTGTGATTACACTTAGCGAATTCGCTCTGCGATTATCAAATTAAGCAATGGCCGGTCATTGGATAGGCGATCAAATATTTAGTATCATATCTCATATCAGCTGACAAATGTGCGATCACCTTAATAACAGCGAGCAAAAAAATAAAGCTCAACTCACACAGGCGTAGAGACGAAGTGGCGCGTCGCGTCATATTTTTCGCCTTGGGAATACCTTAACAGTGGGAAAATAGAGATGAATTTACTACAGGCGAAAAATAGGAAACTTGGTATTAGAAGCCGCGCGTCGACGCGCGTCGTGTATGTGGAAATACGTTAATATTGGGAAAATATAGATGAATTTGCTTCAGACGAAACGTACACGTCGCTTAGACTCTGCACCAGTGTGAGTTGAGCTAAATAGGGTGATGATCCGCTTTTTAACACTGTTCGGTGAGTGTACTTCCTTAAAAAATAACAAACGTTAGCAGCATGAGACAACATAAATGAGGCAGGGTTTTTCGCTCGCATGTCTGGAAGAGGAATCCTTGTCCTTACCTTATCGCAGGCTGCAGCCATAGCCTGCAAAACTTCAATTAACACCATGCTGTGTGCTCCAACCACAATTAAAAAGGTAGGGCAAATAATTTGCTGCGCCTTCTTGTATAAAAAAATAACGCTAAGCATTTATGTTATGGCAAAAACAAGAGTGACCGATCTAGATACTCGAACCACAACATATCGCAGGATACGAAAATAGAAACTGGGTCCTCAGAAATGACAATTACGTATTATCCGGTAATAATGCTTCTTGTCTGTGGTGTTACTAAAAGATACGTTAACGTAACAGCTTTTAATGCCTTACAATTAAAATCTTTCAGTTTTTATTTTTGTTAAGTATAATAACACAGTTTTTATCTATGGTTTAACTACTAGTAACCTATTTGTTTCTTAGAAACGTCAATAAATAAATAAAGTTTCGTGCATTAACCCGTAAAAACTAGTTTTATTTACTAGTAACCTATCCTCCATATATATTGCTCAAAACTGTATTAATAATCCATTGCGTTCTTTAAAATATCTAAGTGGCAGACAATGGGAGCGTCTTTGTTTTCAGAAATCAGAAATCAATATAGCTTTATTCAAATTCGATGTATAGTTAAAAAAAGTACAACTCTTTTAAATTGGACGATTCTTTTGGAGTTGTACTTTTTTTCTCTACCACTCGTTATGGACATATTTTATAGCTGCGGAGAAAAACGAGCGAAAAAAACTCCACAACATTACAAAAGTATAATGTAGCAACATTTACAAGACATTATGTTGTTATAACCTCAAAACAATCATGATTTATTTAATATAGAAAACCTGTTGGAATGATTGGAACAGTTCAAACCCAAGCATTTTTGTCTGTAACACCTAATTTTTAACTAAATATGTGAAGATTTAACATTTTATTGTATTCCTTAGTAGTTTATTATATTAGTATTTTTTTATGGTTGAAGTCCGGATATTCGGTTTTTAAGTACATCCAGGATACAAAAAAAATCTGGCGCTAATTATAAAAAAAAACGATGGCTGGACGAATGGATGTCAAAAATTAGTTTCTCAAAAAAATCTTCCTCGGTTTTAATGCACTTTGTCATACGAATAGACCTGTATTAAAAAATTTTATGCCACTCCTTAGTGATGACCTCGAAAACATGCATTTATAACTCACCTGGAGATAAACATTGGAGTTGATAATGGCATGATTCTCTAAACCTAAACTTAAATTTGACTTAAATTCAGTTTTAAGAGGCAGTGGGACGAGCCACTTTGTTTGCGACTTCAGAGTGATCTTGTAGCATCCTCTGAAAACGCCACTGAGCGTGCTCGCCTACTGGCAGTCTTTCGGGGAGAGTCTGGTTACTGGCTGCAAGCTCTTTCTTCAGCCAATATTGGGACTTTGCTTGACAGGAGCATTCTATCTCTTGCCATTTCGCTTAGACTTGGCGTCAAGACCAATCATCCCCATCGCTGTCGTTGCGGAACTCGCGTCAGTGAGTTGGGACTCCATGACTTTCATGTTAAATAAGCGCTGGTAGAGTCGCCCGCCATGCCTGCATCAATGACGTCATCCGGAGAGCTCTTGTTGCAACCAATGTGCCAGCACTCCTAGAGCCTAGCGGCATCTTCCGAAACAATGGCAAGACACCTGACGGAATGACGCTCATTCCTTGGAAGCAGGGTCGTCCGTATGGGACGCTACTTGCGTGGATACGCTTGCTCCGTAGAACCACACAGGTAGAACCTCCCTAGCAGCAGGTGTGGCGGCGGCCTTTACTCCAAGCGGCGTAAATAAATATTGAGAACTCAATGAGAGCTGCATATTTGTGCCGTTTGGTGTTGAGACTATGGGAACACGGGGTCCAATAGCTCGTTCCTTTTTTTAAGTAATTGTCTAAGAAACTCACCGAGGTAATCAAAATCCTGGTAGCTACCTTGATCAACGGATAACCTTTACTATCCAACGAAGAAATGCTGTCGGCCTATAGATAGAATACTTATACTATACATGTATAAGTATCTTTATATAGAAATACATATTAAAAATACATGACTGGAGTACAACTGCTCGTATTCATCACACAAACATCTGCCCCCACCGGGATTCGAACCCGGGAACTCTCGAGCCGGCGACACCATGAAGGCCACCACTCGGCCACGGAGCTCGACAGATGTACAATTAATGTATATTTCACATTATTTAATGAAGGGTGACTTTAAGAATTATCTCTGAAGTAATTTTTCAACTTGACGACTTTGTAAATAATAAAACAAGGAGAAAAACAGCCATTGCTGAGTTTCTTGCCGGTTCTTCTCAGTACAAGGTCTCCAGCCGGATGCTTGTAACAGCGTATTGGTGATTAATATGATTGGAACAGTTGAAACCCAGGAATATTTGTCACATCAAAGACTTTGTAATAAGCTTTTTTAATAAGCTTTATTAAGTATATTAGTATAATGGTAACATTATCACTTAACATCCTGGTTACCTTATTTATCAGTATAAGGATCTGCAAATCATAAAAATTTAAGCCTATTATCTCCTTCATCCGGTACGCTACATGCGGCATACAAATTCGGATGCTGATTAGTAAAGCTCCATGGCATTTAATTTTTTTACTATTCTTAATTGTACACTCTATTGTCCAAGGAAATTGGCATTACCTATTTATTAATTAGCGTGAAGGTCAATAAAGCATGGAAAATTAATTTATCAATGCGATAGTTATATCGCATTAACCGCTTATTTTATTATGGTTTGTTCAAATTACTGTTCACATTTTAAAGTAATTAAGTTTCACAAACATTAAACAGTGAACAACTAGATTGTGGTTTTCCAATTAACGCATTCTTCAATAACTATATAGTCTACATATTGCCCTAGTATCTACTATTTCCATTCCCTGCGTTCACCGGGCAAGGAAATAAAGCAACGCTCACCTAAAATTTCAATGAACCGTGACCAATATTTTGCATAGCAATAATTTGCCTTAATCTTGCACAAATATTCTTAGGTATCCCGAGTAAAAATACATTTTCCGGTGAGCGTTTGAGACTGAGAAACCTATGTTCTTCTCTTTCTTGAGTGTGGAGAAACTATGAGGCGCAACCGCAAGGTCTCAACAAACAGCCTAGAGCAGGCACGCCGCTACGTAAGTAAAAGTAACTTTTAACAATACCTTGGCGGCGGCGCCTGCACGCGCGTACGTCAGTTTCGCCAACTCTTGCGCCGCGGCGCTACGTATCGCTCTTTCGGATATATATTTTTTTCACATTACGAACCGCAGTGGTGCCGGTTCCAGTATCAAACAAGTTTTCGCGTATCACCTTGGACCTTTCCCCGATGGATATTTTCGGAAAACTGTTGTGATATTCTCAAAATTTATGTTATCATTTTTTTTATGAAATCTATCAAAAGTTCAGAAACCCGGTGAAGATTTGAAAATATTTTCCTGGTTGTTTAATTTAGCAGTTAATATTGGATGTTACGCTCGCTCGAACGTAAGTCACTCAGTTTTTCTAAGACTTTTACTATTTGCTCCCATTGTTGCTGTTGTCGCTTAATAAACTTCTTTTTTCGTAATTTACTGTGACACTTTCTCTACTTTATAACGACTCGAAGACGTTACTTTAACATTGCTGTGGTGAATACATACGCTACATAAATAAAATGTGACCGGTTGCTCTTATTGGCTTTTAACGGCCACTCAACAACTGACAGCGTCACATGGATAAGTTTACAACATATCATATGTTTTTCAATGAGGTGACGAAAGTGGTAAGTGGCCCAATGGCTGGTAGCCCAGTGGTCACCCGGCCAGTCGGTGAGCGAGTGATTAAACGGTGAGCCAGTTTATTTGCTATCAGATCGATAGAACTGGTTTCCAACTTTATTGTAGCCACGTGTTACCTACTAATACTAATACCAATACCGACACGCACATAAATCTATCATAATGCGCTGTTTGCGTACTTGCATATCTAAATCTAGAGCAGTACTGACGGTGATCTAATCCTTAACTAACACAATTGTCTCCGGTACTATTGACTGCTGGATAACGACGATATTTAATGCCGAAACTAGTTCCGTTTATGACAGATGATATAATATTATTGCTTGTATTTGTGTCTCCATTCCGATCGTAACCTTTCAAAACATGTTTTCTCAGTTATTATTTAGTCACAATATTGTTCTTGATATAATAAGAATTAGGTATTTAATAAGCTGATTATAGAGAAAAACATATCCAGGCCCATTTTAGTAGAAACATATTCTATGATATTTAGTTTTATGTAAAAAGTGGCAATTCTAAGGTCCTATATACTTATTAAAGCTTACGATGATAGGACCAACGACCAAGACCCAGTTCCTACCTCGTGGAGTTTAGAAAACTACTCATTCCTGGATTACAACATTGCAGAGAAGTGTTAGGCATTTAAGTGCAAACTTCTGTAAGGTTGAAGTTACTTATCTAGACAAGTGCTCCAATCCTAGCAGAATATTCGATGTGCCCTAAGCCTCTTGAACATAGGACGTTTAAATTTTTTGTTAAAATAGTATTAACTAGTAAAGTTTATAAATAACAATATAAAGCACGCTTTGTCAAACTTTATCCTCTAAATTTGCCATGACTCTTTATTGGTAGGATATAAAACTACATTTTCGGACTTACTAATTGCTTAATACTAATTAATACCTATATATTAGTGAATCCAAGCAGAACTTGCAATGAAATAGATTCTGTGTCTTCTATATTACGTGTAAAGTGGGTGACTCTTTTAAAGTTTCAGTATTAGCTTGAAATTAACAATGGAACACTTTTAAAAAATCTCCACTATTCCTACGTGCATCCTCCGACTGACAACGGTTTGTATATCTTCAAGAGTAATAAATAGGTAGGCAGATGAAATTTCGACAGATAATTTTTACATAATAAAACAGATTTTTCGAAATTATTTTCTCAACCTTATGTTATATTCTAACGCGTTCTTGGGCGATTTTCTTCACTTTTGGCGTCTGAGAGCGAAGCACCCTGTTGATTTCGACTCCGCATACAGATAAAATTGGTGACTGCACTATATCAACTGTCTAACAGCCTTACTACGTACTTGAAATTAATCTACTTCCTTAAATCATGTGCTGTCTCATTAAATTGTTATCGCAAAGCAATTTATAGCAACAACTTTAGTCAAACTTAAAAGCTTATTGACTTCTCTTCGCGCGGCCGTAAAAGCCACAATCAAATATTTATTGAGCCAGAAATATTTTTAACAAGTTAGAAGCTATGTGGCCAAAAGAGATTCTTTTAGATTTGGTGGCGATTTTATTTAAGGTTGCAGTGACTACAGTACTATTGAGATTAAAATCTCAAATAATAAACCCTTACTGTATCCACGAAAATCAGTATACCATTTCTGTGGTATTTATGTAACATAAATCGTTATAAAAACAATAACTTTGTAGGTTTCATATATATTTTTTTATCTTTACTTGCTTGATTTTAACCTAGTTTCTACAATTGCAATCAGCGGAATGGTTACGTGTAACACCTTTAGGTACCTTTTTATTAGATCCATAAACTGATAAAATATGTCCATTATGTAATCAAATTCAAGTTATTAAGATAGATAAAAAACAATAAACGAAAACATATTACGTCAACAGTCAAATGTCAAAAAAAAATAGTTCAAAAAACATTATATCAAGTCATCGATGCAATAAACACATAATTTGTCAAATTCGTTTAAAATACTTATTATTATTAATATTATTATTTATTATTATAAATCTGTATCCAAAATTAAAATAATAATAGTAAGTTTTTTAACAAAATTTTGAAAATATTAAAATTACATTTAGGGCTTATGTATTAGTTTACCTTTACTTGTGTTTCAATTGTTAAGCATTCATACGACAAACTTAGCTCTATTTTCGTTAATATTTTTTTAATATCCCTCTATTTTTCAATTTTGCGTTAATTTATATTATAAATATAAAGCGTTACAATTTTTAACAAAACCTTCACCTACCTATGTAACACAGCTAATAGAACGCCATTCGCAGAGCATCTGTTATATTATATTGGCTGTACAAGCACTGCTTCGTTTGGGAATAAATAATTCTTGTAAGTCCTTCTAAATTTATGTGGTCATTAGTACAGATAAAACTGAAACGTATTTCCAAGGTAAATTAATATACGACGTTTAAGCCGAAATCGTAAATAATGAATATTAAGACATTAGAGATTACGATTCCGATCTTTGTGTATACAAATTCATTTGGTAAGCGATTGCACTTAATTTTGTTACAAGATTCAAAACAGACTCAAAAAAGACTACCTAACCGTTCATCGACCTCATGTAACCCTTTAAATGTTCGAACGGGAAATAATCGACAGCACATAAAAAATAAAGTAAGAAAACCGAATCGTCATCGAATTTCGTAAGCTAACCGCGTGAGCAGTGTGTCGTTTATTCACACGAGTGGTCTTCGGGGACACATACCATAGAAAGCATAATCCAACCAATAGTATTTTGCTCACGGATATAATTTACGCAGTTTTACTTTCCCCTATCTCATTTGCGATGCACACAGGATACAATAATGGCAAATAGAAAACTCCTTAATAGGTTTCGTAATACTGATTCAAATAATTTATCGACTGTTTAGTATTATCGCTGTGTAATAAGTGTAAGTAAAATACTGAGCAGCGAACGAATAGAACAAGGAAACGAAGAAAAAACGGAAAACATAGAATGCGTCAGCTATTGACTTTCTCACGAGAGTGTAGTATCGGGAACTCTGACTGACTGTGTATTGTCCAACAGTAGCAGCGCATCGAATAGGGTCGATATTAATTATTTTAGGGTATAGTCCTGCGAACAATATGTAAAGGCATATTATGAACATGTCATCCATTGAAAATATGCAAGAAAGGATTGTTTTATTGTTCTTGCATGTAAATAAATAAATAAACGTTCTTTTTTATATGTTCGTAGTTGCTTAACTTATTTTCTCATAGAGTGTAATAAAAAGTAGAGTGTCCACCGCGGGAGCAACACTATTTTAAAGCACGAGCAACACTATTTTAAAGCACGAGTAACGTGTTTTGAATATCTCACTATGCTCAGAATTCATAAACGCTCTCGCCTTGATTATAGTCCTTTGCACTCTTGCTAAAAAATCAAATAATAGACTGAACATTCAAGTTTTCAACAATTGTAGAAAATCTTCGTATATCACACTCTCACTTGATCTGTTACTGATCATGTAGGTATTATTTTGTGGCGCCTTTGACAGCGTACCAACTCCGTACAGCAGTTGCTTAAATGTAGATTCAGAAATAGGAGCGAAATGTAACTTCGAACTTACTGAAGGAATATCTATTGTGTTATCAGAGAGAATTAAAATCACATTGCTCTGGAAAAGTTGTACTTCCAAGTTTATATAGATTGCATATAAAGAATTTTATATGCATTCTATGTAAGCTTGGAAGTACTTGGAATTTTAATAAAAAAACTGGCCAAGTGCGAGTCTGACTCACGCACGAAGAGAACCCTAATACAACTCAATGACGATACAAATCCTTGAATTAAGAACAATCACGTCTTCCTCGAACCGGATCAGAAACTTCATGCATTCCTAGCAAGTAATCTAACTGCTAATCCGACGTGACATTGGCTGACCCCGAAAAATATTGTTAAGTCGTTACGTAAATGTCATCATCGCCGATATATAAATCTATAAATTTTATTAATACGACAAGGTTAATTTGATTTATCAAGAAAAAAAAGAAAAACTTAAATTAGTCACCAACTTTTTCAATAGTGTTAGTAAGTAGTAAAGAAATCAGTCAAATTTTAAAATTATTCAATTAAATTTAAAATCAAATTACAATACAATACAATACAAAACGCTTTATTGTACATCACAAAAAACATTACATTTAGTACAAAACAAATTAAAACTAGTGTATCAATGGGCGGCCTTATCGCTAAGAGCGATCTCTTCCAGGCAACCTTTGGATGGAGAGGACTAGAAGGAAGTTGGAGAGAAGGCGGTGTAAATCACTTGAGTGAAATAGGTAATAATATATACATACATATTAATAAAAATATAATATATATATATACTCTTATATAAAATAAATAGATACATACACAACAATAAACAAATCTAGTTCAGAAGGTAGTAATCACAAAAAAAGAATATAATCGAAAGTTTTATAAGGACAGATAATAGGACTTAACAAGGTTTTTAAAAGCGTGAATGGATTCCGCACGTCTTATGGTAAGTGGGAGAGAGTTCCACAGATGTACGGCACGTACTGCAAACGAACGGCTATAAAAAGATGTGCCGTGTACTGGAGTCATGAGAGTAAGATTTTCTGATGACCTAAGGGATAACGTGTTAGAAGTATGAAGGAAATTAAAACATTCCTTAAGATAGCGCGGGGACTTAGGATTGAACAATATGTTGTAAAGGAGAGCAAGAATATGAG